GGATTAAAAGAGGACTGCAATGAGGCTGAATGTGTGATGTATAAATCAGAAAGATAAAATTGAATAAAATACCCAACAATGATATAAGATAGAACAATAATAATAAAACAGACATGTTGGAAAGAAATTGGTGTGCTAGCATTAAAAAGAATTTAAAAAAAAGTGATTTGAAAGATGTTCCAGAGCTGAGGGGTCCTAGTGTGATATAATGTTGTATTCTAGTATTTTTTTTTAAATGAACAGCTGTGTTTTGTTTTGGCTGAAGGTATGAGGTTTTTTTTTTTTGCTTAACCCTGAATAAAAGTTACAGAGATGAAATAAAAACATGTTTGTTTTTCAAATGAAAGGGCAGTGTAAAATATATTACCCAAGATTCTGAGTACAGGTTAGATATTTGTAGACAGGGAACCAAGGTGATTTTATAAAATTGGATGAGCTTTGGAGGACCAAAAATAATGATTTCAGATCTGTTTTCATTTAGCTGGAGAAGGGTTTGGGACATCCAGCACTTTATTTCTTACAGACAGCTGATGAGAATTACCTTGGTTTTTAATGAGACAGAAATGTGTGTGTCATCGGCATAACAATGGTGCTGAATTTTGTGTTTATGTATGATATGTCTCAGTGGCAGCATGAAAACATAGAGCAACAGGAGTCCAAGGCTGGAGCCTTGGAGCACACCACACACCCCGTCAGAGGGGCCGCAGAGGAGGAAGCATCATGGACCACTACCGAAAAAGTTCTGTTTGATAAATAAGATTTAAACCAGTCTAGAGCATTATTCCAGATGCCACAAACAAGTCCACTGATAAATAATATGGGAGCTGTGCTTTGTAGAGCTTATTCTGCCCGGAATACCACCAAGTCACATAGATGTTATTGTAGTTATTACTGTGTTGGAAACTTTTTAATTCTTCTTTTTTTTTTTTTATAAATGTTAGTTCACATTGTAGGCTACTATTGTCTATTGTTTTTAGTTAGTTTAGTCATTGCACTTGTTATCTGATCTGTTTATATGGCTTCTTTAGCCATTTCTTGTTTTATTAATTCTGTGTGGTTATAAATTGTTGTTGTTATTGTTTTGTGTGGACCCCAAGAAGACAGCGATCACTTTGTGGAAACTAATTGGGATCCAAATCAAGAATAAAGAATGGCCTCTGAAGTATTCATTTGTTAAACTCACAGTAAAACTGCTTCCAAAATAATTATTCCAGTTAATGGAATAACATGTTTGTAAGTGGAATTGATTGTACTAATGTTAATATAACAGTAAAATCTAAAAAAAAACTTTTTTTACCCATGCTAGTGGCAGGCTCTATGGTAATGTTGGCCAGTAGTTTGCTTGGTTAGTCTACCACACTGGTCCAGACTGAAATATCTCAACAGCAACTGAATGATCAAAATACCATTAAAGAAAAAATACCATTGGATAGTAAGCCTTTTTCTGTCAAGCCGCACATACCCGGAACACTATACCCACAGAACTAAGAATTATCCCATATTACGTAACGCCTCCAAATAAGACAGTGGCTACTGGACAATCAAACTTGCTGTCATAATCCATGATAGTGTTAATGTCATTGTTTTACTATTTGTCTGTGCTGTGCCATCAACCTGCCAGGGACTGCAGATGAAAATAAGCCTCTATGGCAAAATCTGTCCCGTTTACATGATGGACCCAAGTGCTCATTATTGTGCATTGTCATAATTAAGATAAATATAAATAGCTGCAGTAGCTTTGCATTTTGATTTAAATACTTTAATTGTCTCCAGGTCATCTCTTATTTCTGCTGTCATGATACACGATAAATATGAGTTGGTAGAGTTTTGTATTTTTTAACTGTAAAATATAATATGCATGTAGTATCAACAAAATTACCTCAGGAAGCTCAGTAAAACACTTCTTGATTCAGTCTGTTATCAACTTCATGTAGTATACAGCTTAATATTGTGAGAGGATAAAGCAACACGTTTTACTTCCACTCTGCATATCATGTTTTTAGGCTCTTGTGGCCTGAAAAATGGCCACCAAATACTTGAAACTCAAAGTAATCAATTCAATTAGTGGTCCAGACCTGGGAATACTGAAGCAACATCCAACATAAATGAATGTGGCTGTAGACATCCAAGCACACATCTAATACTTGTGTCTTGCTTTACCGTAGTTTCTCTGCTGACAACAGTAATCGTCGGGGTGCTGAGCCTCTGTACCAGAACAGCAGGGTCCCTGTTTGCTCCAGCAGCTCCTCAGACGAGACTGACAGTTTCAGGAAACCTCCTCTTAATCATGTTGAGAGGGAGCAGAGGAAGGACCTAGAGCCCAGGCCTGCTGCTCAGGAGATGATGGAGTCCCAGTATGAAACTGGTTACACCACCGGAGACACAGGCAATGAGCTTGACCGGGACCACACAGGTTACCTTTACAGGTGGGCCACTACTCTGCTGCCAGCTAATACTGCAATCTTGGGTTGTTTGTCCTAGAAAGTATTTAAGCAAGCAAGTTTTTTGTATAGTGCATTTCCTACATGGGGCCTGTGCTAAGGGCTTTTCTGTAATTCATTAACGTAAAAACAGGAAATACAACAAAAAGTATTAAAACACAAATGAAAAGGGTAGAAGCTTTTTTGAAATTTAAAGGACCATCGTGCTTTTCCTCCTAGTAAAAAACCGAATATTATTTTTATAATATCATTTTCGGTAGTTTAAGGCAGGGAAATGCTAAAATTTAAAGATGCTGAATATCAGCATAAATATTGACTGAGCAGCTAAAAGCAAGAAAAGTCAGCATCAGTTTCAGTTTTTAAAAACCCCTCAGTTGTACCCAAATTAAATTATTTAAGGAAGATCTGAGAGGAAGCCCTAGTTTCTTCTAGCCTAACTTTTTCTCATTAAACACAGCATTAATGGAGAGAATATGCATAGCCCTAAAAGAAACAGTACTCATATTATTTCAGAACAAAATGCTGTAATAACACTAAGAGTGGGCAGCATCACTACTGTCTTCGAGGCAAGTTGGCCAACTGTTTAAATTATTTTAATTTAATACTGGTAAGATAACTGATAAGAAAAAAAGCGCCTCTTGTCTTTTTGCCACAGCCTCAATAATAGTTTAAATGTAATAATCATTTCATGTCTTCATTTTAACATCCCACTCCAGGCTGTACCCAGAGATAACTTCAGATGAACAGCGCCGGCAGTACAAGAGGGAGTTTGACTGTGATCTGGCCCGCTATAAGTGCCTCTGTGCCGAAATGGATGACATCAGTGACCAGTTGCACAAGCTGAGCCGGGAACTCGACGCATTGGACGAGGGCTCCATGAAGTACCAGGTAGAGAAAAAAACAGAAGGGAGGAGCGCAGAGTGGAAAAATTTGTGACGGACTGCCAGGAGAATATAGTCATAGCTGTGCCTTTTAATTACATATAACAGCTTAGTTCATCCTCAGTATGAGTCTATTGGACTGCCATAGAACACAAAGTGATGTAGATTTACAAAGCCAGATTTCAATCTTATGCTTCAGAATTGTTTTATATTGTTTATGTTATAAAAATAAGCACAACTCAGTGAAAGAACTTGTATTTACATTTTCAGGGTGTCGCAGATGAATATAATCGTCTCAAAGACCTGAGAAGGGTGAGTGGAATTATATCAGTGGTATACTAATGTGATATTCAAGGAATAGTTCATTTGTTTCATTTGTTTTGGGAAATACAACAGAGTTCCAAAGCTAACTTACCATAGCTTCCATAGCTCTTACCGAACAACAGCAACATTTAAATTGCCAAAGAAATGTAAAGTAATACCTTACACAAGAAACAACAAATAGTGTAGTTTGTCACACCACCTATACAACTACAACTTATCCTTTTTACTCTTGGGTTTCTGTACAAACCAAACAAAACATTTAGATTTTTGAGGGGATATTGGACAGAGCCAAGCGCTGTTTCCAGGAGTGATAATATTCCCTCGAACTGGGCCCCTTAATTGTACTGCATGTTGATACATGCACACATATATGGACTTATGCACGCACCATTGGCATTTTCATCAGGGTGGGGGACCATTATTTCAGCACAGGATTTTTGTTGCTGGGTACTTTATGATGGAGTAAGCCTTCGGGAACTCTTTAGAAAATACCAACTTTCTCTTTGGCATGACAGCTAACTGTTAGCATACTGACAGGTTCTGTCAGAAAGAGCTGCATAACCTATGACTCACAGGCTAGGGACTGCTTTGACAACACATTGATTGATTGATTGACACACGTACAGACAAATCAGTGATGAATTCAGACGTGTGGTGCATTGTATATGTTTTTATATTTGGTTAGGTAATTATGAGTGGGACTGAACATCATATAGACGTTTTATTTTTAATTGTGGCGAAAACTGGGACAATTTAGTGTTTTACAGCATCAGGACAATAATGTAAATATATGTGAGTGGTATTGATATTTTTATATACATTTCTTAAAAAGAAGTGAAAGAGAAAATTTCTCAAAATGTTGAACTACTACAGATAATACTGTTTGTTTAATATTCACTTAAAATTCTTTCTTCCAGACACCAGACTATCAAGCAAGGAAGAAACAGTGCAAAGAACTTCGGCAAAAACTTTTCCACATCAAACGTCTGGTGAAAATCTACGACCAAGGTCTTTGTTAGTGGGTCTTGGACATTTACAGGGTGTGACCTGGCTTAACAAACAAGGATTTATCCTCCATTTCCTCTTCAGATTTACTGCTCTGCTGTTGTAATTGTCACTGTTTAGCCCATACCAACCTCATACTGTTCTTACTGTCATTGAACCTAATGTTTACGTCTGTATTACTTTTGCAGCTGTCGGAGCAGATTACTGTCGAGATACTCAGACTTTTTCTCTGTGTGGTTCTAACATAAACTGCTTGACAACACGTCTGTGTTAACATTTGAATTTGTTATACCTTGCGGTTAACACTCCTCCGTTTCTGGCTTTCATTAATACACTTATACATTCATGGTACATGTTGCAGTGTTTATTTGGCATTCTTCATACAGATGTAATTACAACACTTTTTCAAGTAGTTTGAAAAAACAAAAACATAACAAAAGACACACTGTCATCTTTTGATTCTTTTAATAACGTTGCCATACACATGAAATTTTAAAAACTCAGTAACACAAAGATAAGAAAACATTAATAGTATATCTATCTCTTTTTTTTTTTTCCCCGACGACATGATTGTATGAGTTGTTGCCTAAAAGAAGAATATCCAAACGTTCAACTTTCAGAAGGCCCGGTGGTAAATCAAGAAGCAGAGTTACATCCTTCTACTTGTTTTTCATCACTATATGCTGAAATATGTTGTATTTAGAGTTGATTTTGTCGTTTTGTAAACTCGCCTCTTGTGACCCGTGTGAGGTAAATCCTGATGGACCAGCGAATCAGGGCCCATCTTCTTTTAACTCGTCACAGGTAGTGTGATGTTTTGGCATTGATATCCTCCAAGTGCAGCTTTTCCACCAGATTTTCACCCATTACAGTATCGTCACATATCATTCAAAACAGTAGAGACTCACTCAGTTGCTTAGAGATGAGAGCGTGGTTATCTCTACTGTCTAGCTGTAATGGCATGAAGGTAAGCTTCTTTTTTGACATCTGAACAGATGACAGAGGTATTTTCATGTAAATACATTAAGAAAAAAACATTTAGGAGCTAACAGTGAAAGCAATACTTTGATGTTTAAATGAATCTTGAATTACATAATGTAAAAGAATGAAACAGTCTCAACTTAGCATCTTAACTTAGATCCAAAACAACATTTGAACATGCAAAAAGACAAAGTTGGCTTCAATATATATACACATTTCAATACATTTCTCAAAGGATCATTACCCCCAGAAACAGCATTGATCAACATAAACTGGTATTTAACTGGTAGTGTTGGTTATAAACTCTCATCACCAACTATATTTGCTGAGCTAATTCTTATTGAATAGTTTGTTTGACTAGAACCCGAGTTGATGTCAGCCTGCCGTTCCTCAATGAAAAAAAAGCTTGATCCAAACTATGTTCAATAGCTGAATTCACCATATCCAGTCAGTCAAAACTCATACTGAAAACACAAGTGAAAAACAGTTTGGGGATCTGGGGATCTGTTTTCAAAAAGATTCAAGACAAATGTTTGTGACGCTCAGAAAACTCATTTCATGTTTCAAAGGTGTCCCAAATTCATACGGAATAACAAGGCAGTTGTCAAAAAGAAGGCGGTTTCTGGTGAACAACATTTACAGAGGTTTGTGTTTAGGAAATATCAGACTAAAGCATTCTGATGTCTAGTGAGGTATTAGTCCGTTCTCATGTCATTTTTTTTCTTCAACTACAGCAACAGTGAGCCCTGTGAATAAATGTAAATGCATTGTTCACTTGATGGTCAGGTAGTCACAAGAGTCTGTTCATCCCTATTTCTTTGCTTTGTGTACTAATTATTCTATTTAAAAACCATCTCTGAGGATGGTATGATAGACTTTGGTGATTTTTCCTTGGTTTTATTTTTCTTTCTGTTCCATTTTATCAGTTCCTTGGCTTTTTGCTCAGTGCTGAGAGAGGTGAATTCAGAATTTTCTCTTCAACAAGGAGGCCTGTTCTGTATCGTGTAGTGTCAGTTCACCACGCAACCGCAACTTCCTGACGCTTCAGACTGTTTAACTAGATCCATTATAATCATGATACTGTATTGTTATATTATCAATTGTGTGGATAAAAAGTTCACTGTATCACAAATGGTGAGCCATGGAAAAATGAGCCCAGTGTGGGAAAAAACTCTTCTGCTGACTTTCATTGGCGGGACAGTTTTGTCCTCTAGATGTATTTGTAGCAGGGTCCTGCTGCCCTCTACATGAAACTGTGGCGTCTTTAGTCACTATGGCATGTGGGTGGTGACATGACTGGCTGTGGTGGCCATATCGGAGCCCAGCGTGAAGAGCTGGTCTCTGGCCTGAGACCTGGCACCAGAACGAGTGGGCTGGCAACAAGACAGATCCAGCCTGGCACTAGCTTGTCTCTTCACTGGAGGCCCACATGGAGACAGAGGGCTCGTTTCATGAGGGGGAATAGAGCGGTTACAGTACAGTACATATGACGGCCAGCTGGCACTGCAGTTTCATAACCACACAGATGGATAGTGATGAGTCAAGAGGTTTCCTGTGGGTCCTTGTCGTCACTAATCCCAGACGGAGACCTCGTCCATCAGGGGGCTACTGTCCTGGGACATACGGCCAGCTGATTGAGCTTCCGGAGAGCTGCATGTCACGGATCAGCGTCTCAATGGGTGTCTTTCCTACCAGGCGCATGAAAAAGAGCTGCGAGATGAGGCTGGCGGGAACGGCGCGCAGGGCAGGGAGGCGCAGGAGCAGGCGTCCAAAGCGCTGAGGCTGACTTGGGTATTGCATCCTCTCGTACTCTGTCAGAGCCACCTGAGCCTTCTCCTGCAGAGACTCCACGTGGACTGGGTCTGTTAGACCACAGGCATCTGAGAGGGAGGGAGGGAGGAGGCAGTTACTTAATAGTGTGGGCAGGTTACATAAAGAGTCGTGATAAGCCAAGAGGAAGGTTGAAATCCCATCAGATAATGTGATAAAATGCCCCTTGAGGGGAACACATACAAATATAGTGCCTCATGTCTACACTATAAAAAAGTTATAAAAAAATCATTTAAAACTTAGACACCCCAAACAAAACTTTAAAAAATAGCAGAATATGCTTTTTATTTTAGTTTGAGTAAGTTTTGAATGCTTTTGGAAGAAGCATTCCCACTCAGCAATTTGTTTATGGACACCACTTTAAAAACTCTTACAAGTCTTAAAATGCACTATGTGCTGCATAATGATCAGTGACAGCACTAAATTATGCAGCAAATAGTGCATTATTGCATTTCCATTAATAAGCCAGGAGATGGTGCCATAGTAGGTAGATTCCCAGATTAAGAACTGACCTGCAGTTCCCCAGACACTTCAAGCTTACAAATTTGGAGGTTAAGTATTTTCTAATTTTTCAAAATGTTTCCAATATTTTCACTGTTGCAGGCCTTAATGTGCTTTTTAATTTTTGTGTGTTCAATTCCTATTCATGGTTATCTATTAGAGAGGCACCCCAACAATTTCGATTAGATCAGTTTACTAGTCATGCTTAGTCCTGCTCAGCCTGTTGTTTAATGTCTTCGGTGGAGGAAAAAGTAACCCTGATGATGTCATAGTTATGTCATTAGGGTTATCTTGGCTGAGACTTTTAGACTACAAATGTCTGACAGAAAGTTTGCATTAAAAACAGTGTGGAGTTTCAAAGATGTGAGCATTTACCAGACAGGGAGGGTCTGCTGTAAGATGTTAGTTGCATTATTGGAAATGTAGGTTTTGGAGATTGACCCATGCTAGAGACTTAAAGTGAGAATATATCTGGGCCCCTGCTTCACTCATTTTGACCATTCCAGTCCAACAACTTCATGGAAGCATAAAACTTAATTTGCTAGAGTGCCCCTTAAAAAGTGTCTGTCTGGCGTGGCTCTGCAGTACACTATGTTACAATAACAGCAAGATAAAGAAGAAGAGGAGCAACAATCACCTGGTGAGAACAGTGCGATGGCCTTGAGACAGCTGTACTCTGCCGAGTCTACCTGCAGCCTGGTCAACTTGTCGACCTGGTCCTGGAACACCCTCACCTGGTCCATGAAGGACACCACACGCTCGGCAGACATGGGAGAGGAGTGGAAGCCAGCTGCGGCCAACAAGGGAGCCATGTGGAGTGGCAGGGCCGACTGGGCTGCGTTGAGGATGAACAGCTCGCTCCAGCTCAGCCTCAGCAGGGCCACCTGTGGATTTGTTAGTGTGTTAATCAGATTGCTTTACACTGGTATCCATTTTTATGTTCACTGTATTCATTGTATATTTATGTTTTGATGTAGACACTTTCCTTCAACCTATCTGTCCATTTCTCTCCTATATTTCTAATACTACCTTCTGGTAGAAATAACTTTGTATATAAATACATCAAACTATACTTTTTCTATCTTTTAAGTACAGTTGAATCAACTAACCTGATCTGACACAGGCAGTTCAGGGAAATAAGGGATGTTTCTGGCCCACTCCACTGTGCTGAAGAGTAGTCTGGCAGCCAGTTCACAGATGTTATCAATCCCCATGGCGTTATCTGGACCGGCCTGTTGGTTGTACTGGTGTCCATACCGACTGCTGGGGTACGGTTCAGCTCGCAGCAGCTGAGAAATTAGCTCTGACACCGGCTGACCTCCGCCACTTCCTCCATTGTTGTTGTTGTTATAGAACTCGCCTCCAAGGCCGCTGGCGCCACCTATGGGCGTGATGGAGGGGCTGAGGCTCGGCTGGGGTGGGATGCGACCGCGTTGAACTGCTGTAGTTTGGTTGGGGTACAAAGGGGAGGGGAAGGAAGGAGGAAAAAAAGAGAGAGAGGAGACAGAGAGGAGATGAAAGCAAAGGTAATGGAGAAGAGAAGATAAAGGGAAGAGAGAATTGTGAAGGACAAGAGGAGGTAAAGGAGGGGATTTGGAGAAGAAAACGGAGAGAAAGAAAAGTTAAAACTGAGTTCAGCCAGCGGTGTGTGTCAGATTATCAGCAGAGAAGCTTGACCAGATTAGGAAGCTATTCTTCAAGATTAAAAGGAGGCATAATCAAGCCCAGACTGATTCCTCGAGAAGAGCATGAAAGTGAGGAGGAATATTCTTGTGCTCGTCAGACTGGATGAAGGCTATCTATGGAAATAAAACAAAGACTCTGAGACGAGAATTTACTCTCCATTAAAAATTTAAACCTCTTCAATATTAATTCTGGAGGAGAATTCCAACATATTATTGCAGTAACCTTACAATATCCCGAACTTAACACACACAGAAGAATAATTCTGAACTCAAAAACACCCAATGAGATTAAGAATGTTGCTTTGTGTAGAGAAAGAACTATAGCTGTGATAGACAGGATTACTGTGCAAAACCAAGACAGCAGGGCAGACTACTGAAAAGAGACATTTGGTGGATATGAATTCATGTGATGAGCATATGTGTCCTTGAGCAAGACACTGAATCCACTCCAGCCTGAGGAATGTTGCCCTGTGACCTCTGACTTGTTTGTGGAGGTGGTCAAGCAGAGGGAATTTCTCTGCAGGGAGCCATAATGTGTCTCATTAGCATGCTTTACGATCTGTGAGTGGAAAAACAACTCAGAGACACATCAGATTGAGGTTGGTTAAAATCACAGACCTTCAAAAATTAAAGGTTAAATGTATGGTTGCAATGTTGAAAAGCCTCACAAATCTGCGAGCATCTGAAAGCACTGCATTTACTAATTTTTTCTGTGTACCTATTGGCATGACATTGAATGATGCCTCACGTGGGCTCTACCACTTAAGGTGAAATCCCCATATTGGATTCTGCCTGATCGAGCCAACAAGGCAGAGGGGTTTCTGTAGCTTCAACCAGAGGCTTAAGGCTCTGGGACGCAGGTGTCTTAGCACTGCATCCCTCTCAGTCACTCTCACACAGGCACTAGATTAAGCCACTTAGTACATGGCATTGAGCTGACACGCATGGCTAGCTTAGCCATGATAGGGCCTAGAGAACCATGTGTGGCATTTTCTCTGCACTATGGAGCTCATGGAGCAGAAGGGGCAAGATAATGACAAAGGCAAATTTGACTATGATTGATTTTCTTCTTTTCTTCTTTTCTAAGAGCGGCTGATTGAAGGAATGAAAAGGCCCTTCACTAAAGGAAACATCAAAAATTTTCATTTTTTTTTACATGTTCACACATGTACAATCACAGTGTGTGCCTCCTATCCCTTTCAAGGGATCAAAATGGATGGTGGATTTGTGGATCAGAAGAGACAGATACCTTCTTTGCGCATGCCAACACGGAAGCACTTCTTCAGTCGACAGTACTGGCACTGGTTCCTGTGGTGCTGGTCAATCTGACACTCTCTGTTTGACCTGAGAACATAAAGAAATTATTATGGGACTACAGTTACAATGGCAACCACTTTGCTGAAGGTTTGCACTAATGCAGTAACAGTCTGATTTACCACAGCTGTCAGACTGTGTGATCTGCTCTCCCCTGAAAGGGTGTTTTATCTGATTTCAGGTTTTCACACAGATTATCACAACTATCAAACCCTATTGACAAATGTTTAACCTATCCTACTTAATGGCAAATGAAAATGTGAAAATATTAAGTTCAGTGATGCAAACTCATCCTATTCTATTCAAAAAACATTTTAAAGTAAATAAAAAGTTGTTTTCACTGATTATATATGCATCTACAGCATGATACAACACTTCCCTTTTACAGTGCCTCTGGACATTAATATTGCATCATGAAACTAGATTTTCCATTAGGCTACAGGAAATGTTAGCGTGCTTAGACAGCTGATGGTTGTATTATTCAGTGTTATTTTGCATCTCAACTGTTTTCTAAACTACACAGCACGCCAACTATTTTATTTAACTGAAACAATTAGTCAATTAATTCAAGTAAAAAACTTTTATTGATTGAACAGTTAATTGTTTCAGTTGTTTTCAAGCAAAACATCAAACATTGTCTGCTTCCAATGTCTGAAATGTGAGGAGTTGCTGCTTTTCTTTGTCATGTATGATTGTGAATTGAATATGTTTAGGTTTTAGCCTTTCATCAGACAAAATCAATGTGAAGACTTCATCGTTGGCTCTGAGAAACCGAAGCTCAGTTTATCACTATTTGTTGAAATTTAAGAGATTAATAATGTGAAGATGAATCGATAATGAAAATAATTTTACTTACAGCCCAAACTTTAAGATCATAATTATAGAACTAAAATTGTATGTGGTGGCATACATGTGACGATCTATCTCTATAATTAATGACAACAGATGTCTTTGGGAAAGTGAAAAATAGTGAATAGTGAAACAATTCCATCACAACTTCCCTGGACCTGAAGGTAACATATCCAGTTAACTTGTTTTATCAGTCCAACACACAAAGATCTTCAGTGCCCTATCATACAAGATCTAAAAGTAGAAAATTCTCACATTTTACAAGCTGGAACCAGACCATGCTTGAATTTAGCTTATACATTTTTCTCACTCAAACGATTTGATAATGTAATAAGTGCTTCAGCTCTATTATAGAGACACCTTCATTATTGTAATACTTCATAGCAAAGACAGGTTGCTTTGTGTCACAGCTACGCACAAAGTTAAATGATCTATGTTTTGTTTTAGATTCTATCAACACATTTCCATTTCATTGCAGCATTTTAAATAAAACTACTGACAATAAAACTTTGCATTACAACAAAAAACTGCAGAACTCAACTACATGTAAGAAGTCAGACACACAGCAGCCATATGTTTATGACTCATGTGTCTGTATATGTATCATCTGTCAGTATATGACTTATGTAACACTGCACGTTTTCAGCTGTCCACTGATTATTTATCAGACTATCATAAACCAAAACCTAATACCCACAATGCAACTCTCACCTGCAAGTGTAGCTGAGGTTGCGTCTGACGCTCCTCTTGAAGAAGCTCTTGCAGCCCTCGCACGTGAACACGCCGTAGTGTTTCCCGCTGGACTTGTCCCCGCACACCACGCAGTCCACCACGCAGGACTTGTCGTCGTCTCCGGCCTCCATGTCGCTGCCCCCCGCCTGGGGAGAGCCGTCCTCCTCCTCCCCCCTCAGGTAGCTCTTGTCCCCCAGCCCGTTTGTGCCCCCATTGGGATCTCCCCAGCCCCCGCTCACCATGGCCATCGCTTGGTTACCGAACCACGGCAGAGGAAAATGGGACAGGCAGCCAAGATCTCTGGTTGCTGTCAAGGTAACATAAACATAAAAAAAAAAAAAAAAAAAAAAAAGTCCAGATTGTGTTTTCCCTCTCACGTGGAGAGAATCAGTCGTTTCTGCTCGCCTGTGCTCTCATTAGTTTGATAAGTGTGTTGATTATTTCAGAGCATATAATGGCAGATATGAGAGAGAGGGTGAGGGGGGGGGAGAACAGTCCTCAGGCTAAACAAGCAGATGTCAGTGTGAAAAAATAAAAAAATAGGCTATAGCTATGAGGAGGAGGTTGTTTGGCAGAAAAAACAAGAGCAGCAGTCTCCTCCCACTCCACTATGACCTGGAAACAGTCTCACTGTGGCAACTTTTAGTTTTGCATGCCTGTGGATTTCAATGCCCTCTCTTTTCTCTCCTTCCCTTATCCAGCTGGTAGCCACTGTGTGTTTGTTGTCCTCGTCTTTCGGACCAGTTCCTGAGGTGGTTGAAAGAGGAGCCTGCCTGAATGCTCCCCCCCCCAGTCGAACGGTGTGTCACGCTTCAGCCGAGGAACCCTTTCACAGGAAACAAATGAGCCAAACGTGCAGTTCTCCTGAAAGAGAGCAAAGGCAGAAAGATGTTAGGGGCAAAATTTACGTGGAAGGTGATAATCTCCTCTTAACGCACAGCTCCACATACTGTTGTTCTCTTCCTCACTCACACACACTCCCAGCTCTGTCTCTGTAGCAACAGTAATGGCTGAAAAAGGACCTCGGTGTAGCTCGCCTTAGCACATGCCTAGAGAGGCTTTGACCACCCCTCTTAAAGCACCCCTTACACAGAATGTGTCTTTGCTCGCACTGGTTATTTCTCTAGATCGTCTGTCTAAATGTAAATATTTACCCTGAAATACTTCTAGAAATGATGTCAGGCTTACCTTAGAGCGAACATTAATGTCTCCGGCTTCCCTCACTGGCAAATAAATCCCTTTCTCGCTCTAGATCTTCCTTCCATCCAGCGAGGCTGCAGACACAGCTCCCCTATTCTGCTGTAATCCTCTCAGCGTCAGCAGCATTGTGACCCACAATGAAGACATTCCAGATCAAGCAAAACAAGTCGATGTCAGCACAACAACAACACCACTTTCATGTGGCTGTGAGCTGCTTCTTCAAGGCACCGCCAGCTGCAGCAGTGGCGGCGGCAGCAGCAGCAGTGGACAAGGCGACGTGGGCTTGCCCTGTGTCCTCGCCTCCAAAATACACAACACAAGAAGATCCTCAACACAAGGAAGTGAGGTCTCTTCCCCGCTTGTTGTAGCACGAGTGCTCGGTTGTTACAGTGTCCTCTGTGCTGCTTCTTTCCAAGAAAAAAAAAAAAGACAATCGAAGAGAAGCAGGAGAGCGTCCAACTGCTCAGCCCTCCATAGTTCCTGTGGTTGCTCTCCAGGCACTCATGCGGGCTTCTCCCTCCAGCCTTTTGTCAGTGCCTGCCCACCAAGAACTAATGACTTGCGGCCTAGCCCTGTGTGCTGCTTTCTGCCGGTCTGTGTGTGTGTGTGAAGCCTTTCCCTATGGCTCACAGGAGGTGGGGGGTGGAAAGGGGACGTGTGCTCCACTTCCCCCTCTTTCTCTCTCAGTCCACAAATCAAATTATGATTCAAGAAAATGGCCACAGCCTGAGACGGGCTGGATTTCTCTCAGCCTTTGCTTTTTCTTTTTTTTTTCTCTCTCTTCACCCCTCTCTCCTCTGTCTGTTTTCCTCCAACCTATTTGTGTGTATTTGAGAGAGCGAGAGAGATCAAGCAAAGCAAGGGAGAGAGAGGGAGGGAGCAGGAGTGTGTGCAGAGGGGGAGGGGGCTGTGTGTGTGTGTGTGTGTGTGTGTGTGTGTGTGTGCGCCTAGGGATTTGACACCGCTATTCAAGCCCTGCCGTTACCATGGTGCCGGCCGCCTTATATGGCCATTGGAGTCAAAGAGCAAAGAGAGTGGGCTGTGTGGGGCAGCATGCACACACACACATACACACACACAAACAAACTCACTCAGGAAGGATGTGGAGGATCTCTCTCCTCAGAGATGCAGTGAGCATGACCCTGAGGCCTCAAAAAAACACCCCGACAATACCAGATTACCCTGAAGCCCCACAGCAAATACACGCAAGTCGATCTCTTGCCCGCCCTTTGTCTTTAAGAAAGCAATCAAATGTTGCATCTGAAAGTTCCTCCACTGCAACATGCGAAGCAAAGCAACAGCGAGGTAAACTTTATTTCGGGGGGGGGGGTATATCTTTCACACTTGAATAACACACTTTGATCTTGCGTACGTGCTGAGCAGCCCGCCTGAGAGCACCTTATTGTGCTGAAAGTAAAGGTTACCATTTTGTGGTCATTGCTCATTTGCACAAGGCCTTCTCTCTCAGCGCTTTGTGGAGCCCACAGTGATTTGTGTTCGAGGTTAGCCCAAGAGGTCAAACTGACTTGCACACCCCTGTCGTGCTGAAAAACCCAGGGTCAAATGCAGATTAAGGGGAGGAGGAGGACGCACAATGACCCTGGATAAGAGCTTTAAGAGATAAGTGATGAATCTGCTTGTATCTATGTGTGGCTCTTTGGGGTTGGGGGTTCCAGTCACAGATACGGCGAGATGAAAGAATCGGTACGTGCAACTTGTTGTCTTATCTAGCCAGCGTTTACAGACATTTTAAAGGCATTCTTTTCCCCCCACAGACACTTTTATGACATTCCTAAATCTAAAACCAGCTTTACCCCCTGGAGGACAGAATGTGTTTGTGTGTGACAGAGAAGCATTGTCCTAGCCATTGTGTAGCTAATGGGTCATCAGAGGATTGTGTGTGTGTGTGTGTGTGTGGGTGTGTGTGTGTGTGTTAATTTGAATGAAAGTCCCTTTAATGAGGCCGCTGTGGCTGCTTATTGTCACTTCTTGTGTTGAGAAAGATTAGGCTTGTCAAATAAAAGATGCTTGTAAATGAGTGTGTGTGTGAGAAGAGGAGAGGTCCAACCGTTAAACCATTAATCAATACTTTGGTACCTTTAGAAATGGTACATTTGGATAAATGTGTTGTCTTTGTTAATAGTATATATCAGCTCATTTGATTCTAACTTTTTGAGTAAATTTTATATCAACTTGATTTAGTCCACAAAAACGCAACATCTACAATTACATTTATTTATATTTATTTAATTATTTAGGCAAATTAATTTGCTGTCCCCTGTCTTCGCCTAATCTTGCGTTAACTCGGTTTCAGTGCTCCTGTGGATTTCAACCCCTGGGTACTTGACTTCTTCTGTCGTCACACATGTAAGTTTAGCCTTTCCTCACCAAACTACAGCAGGTCACCATCATAATATGGCAGTGGCATATTCCGTCATTCTGATCATCTTTAAAAGACTCTTCCTAGCTTTCTAATAGATATTACATTTCAGTGAAAGATTATTACATTGGCAAAACATTGTACCTGCCTTTGTAAAAATGTTGATCGGTAAGAATATTGACAATTAGTAAATTATACGCCATTTCATTAAAAAAGCATTTGAACAGACTAAAAAACGTTTGATATACTATAGACTCAAATAGATGCTGTACATGCCTATCATTTCCACTTCACTGTGTGCATCTGTTTGAAAGATAGCACTGGGGGCAGGACTGACGTGACCTTTGAACCGACAGTCAGGAATGTGGTTGCTCCCAGTGAGGAATCCAGAAAATGCAAGACTGCAAAAGATGTCTGCCAGGCTGCCACCCCAACAGATATACAGTATTAGATAGATAGATAGATATTCCTTTATTTGCCCCACAATGGGGAAATTCCAATATTACAGCAGCAAAGTGGATAGAGGAAAAAAAAACAGTATAATTATACAGTATATTAATCACAAAGAGACAGCTGGCACTGAAGCACAGAGGTTTAACACCAACTTACAGTTCAAAAACTCACAAACTCAGCAAACATAGGGAACACAGGTTACCCAGGTTACCCAAATCGCGAAACTGAAAGTAATTACATTGTGTTTAATTTGTGGTGTATCTTAGTTATAGTGTCACGCTTGGTCACTAGTAAAATTTGATGTGGTCCCTGACCCTGACATCATTTATATATCATTAACATCTATAGTGAATCATTTGTTGGTTTAATAACTCGTACACACATGTTAATAGTTAATAACCTCCACATTAATGGATGTCAGACAGCCAGTGTAACTATAGCCGTATTGACACAACCACTGCTACCCTTTTTCCACAGATTACCCGAATGAGCTGTATGTGTGAATGCAAATGTCCAAATCAGTTAGACCGAACATTAAATGAACTTCCCCCTGCCAACTCCTGAGTACAAAGTAAGTGTATATTCCAATTAAGCCCAATATAGAGCCCGATAGAGCAGTGAAGCTGCTTCTTACTCGTTTCTGCTTGCCTGTATATTGCTTTCCACTCTTTCATTGATAATGGAAAAAATAATGTAAGTATCTACATTAAACCAAAGTGACACAACCAGATTGCCCATGAATTGACAGGTTTGTTGTGTTATCCAACATCACATATTCTACTTGACACCTAAAATAACTATTTTAAAAGTTTAACCTAACCTTGTTTGGAGTTCTGCAATTCTAATGAATAAATCCTCATAATGCCTCCCTGGCTTCATAACTGCAGCAATTTTAAGTCACTTCTATTTCTGGTTTTCCAGGCATACGCACACCTGTTGTGTCTTCATGCACCGCTAGCAGCGAGTGTTAAAAAAATAGTGATGTATTCAGAGCACAGCTTGTATTGCTCAAACTTTGTGTCAGCTGTAAGTGTCTTGCTTTATTGGGGTGAAAATTCTCCCAAGTTTGTTGCAAATAGGAGGCATATATTTACCAAAGTCATGGCAGTAATTTGAAATTATTTGAGGTTGAGCATGTGAACTACTGGTTCTGTCAATGTGAATATACTAATAGTATTATCTTTCAAACCTGGAGCCTGTTTCGAGCAGTTGTTTACTGATTTCTTACATCTGAAAGGGCTTTTTGTTTTTTACTCAGTTTAGTGGTCTGACCCTAAAATGACACAGCCATGCCTGTGCTGAGGCCTTGTTTGCTCTAAATTCAATACATTTCAAATTTCTTCACATTTTGCATTTTGTTTTATATGAATATATTTTTGCATTAGTAGATGTTTGAGATTAGAGTAGGTTTCTGTTTTGTCTAATTGATTAATCTACCTTTTTTTTTTATCCAGTTCAGAGACCCTATCAGTAGCCTAGTCAGTCAGATGTAAAATAATCCTTAGGGGGTTTTCTGGCTTTAAATTGTCAGACCTCTTTTACAGGGTGGGTCATTAAACCCCATCCTTTAGCATTTCTGGGAAGGCCCAAACACAACTCTGTCAGCTATTGATTCAGTTAACATTTCAACCATTTAAGTTAACCTATAAGGTATGTTACAGAGGACTGTCCCACGACAAATACTACCATCCACCCTCTGCATGGCCAAGTGTCTAAAGTTAGGCCAGCCCTCTCCCTGAGGCATCCATAGCAACCACT